GAGCGGTTATACTGAAACTGAAACTTCAAGCCCTCCGCCTCAAGAGGGCCCCCGAGACCGCCAGCAGGCGCCCCACCCCCCCTGGGAAGCACCCAAGAGACCCAAAAGAGGCCCCCAGAAGCCCAAGGAACGATCTCCAAAACGCCCACAGAGGCCTCACCCGGGGGTCGGCGGATTGGCGCAAGCCTCTTGAATCGACTTGTTTTTGAGCTGTTCCCTGATCGCGTAGTGGGAATCCAGTCCATGGATCCGGGAGCAAAGGTAGCGATCGCACTCAATCTGGGAAGCAATGCGAACGCGGAAAGAGAATGGGAGAAAGAGAAGAGTGCGGGGGCGGGCGTGGACACAAGATAGCACACAATGACGCGTATGCGAGGCCGAACAATGAGAACCCCGTTCGGGCTCCATTCTTTCTCTGGAGTGCGGTGTGGGGGGTGTCCGCCCCCGCGCGCCCCCCACAGAGTTCGCCAGTAGGGCTAAAAGAAGTGAGGAGATCCCAAGCAAGCGGCCCGAGACTGGGCACTGTGGGCCGAGGCCGCGCAAGAACGGCCCAAGACGGCCCAAGAAGGCCCCAAGAGGGGCCCAAGAGCGGTTATACTGAAACTGACACTTCAAGCCCTCCGCCTCAAGAGGGCCCCCGAGACCGCCAGCAGGCGCCCCAACCCCTCCTGGGAAGCACCCAAGAGACCCAAAAGAGGCCCCCAGAAGCCCAAGGAACGATCTCCAGAACGCCCACAGAGGCCTCACCCGGGGGTCGGCGGATTGGCGCAAGCCTCTTGAATCGACTTGTTTTTGAGCTGTTCCCTGATCGCGTAGTGGGAATCCAGTCCATGGATCCGGGAGCAAAGGTAGCGATCGTACTCAATCTGGGAAGCAATGCGAACGCGGAAAGAGAATGGGAGAAAGAGAAGAGTGTGGGGGCGGGCGTGGACACAAGATAGCACACAATGACGCGTATGCGAGGCCGAACAATGAGAACCCCGTTCGGGCTCCATTCTTTCTCTGGAGTGCGGCGTGGGGGGTGTCCGCCCCCGCGCGCCCCCCACAGAGTTCGCCAGTATCCGTGCGGAGATCCAAGCAAGCGGGCCCGGAGGGCGCTCTTGTGGGCCCTTGGAGCCGTCTTGGACCCTCTTGGGGGTCTCTTGGGGGCCTCTTGGGGACTTCCCAGGAGGGCGATTGGATCTCGGGGGGGGGGCGGAGATCCAATCAAGAGGGCCCGGGGGTCCCTCTTGGGGGCCTTTGGAGCCGTCTCGGGCACTTTTGGGGGGTCTCTGGGGGCCTCTTGGAGCCCTCCAGGGAGGGTTTTTTTAACCAAGCAGCCGCGATACAACTGAGGGCTGGCGAAACCCTCAGAGGACGCTCATTGGCGTAAAAACGCCACCCTGGGCTCCGTTGCGCCCGGGGAGGCGGGGAGGGAAACCTCCCACTGGCTTCGCCTGCGCAGCTGTCGCCAGTGGCCTCCGAAGGCCCCTGGCCGTGCTCCAGGTGAGCCGCCCCCAGCACGGGGAAAAGGAGGGGGAGAGGCCAGGGCGACCACCTCCACCTTCAAAACGCGAGGAGCCATCACGCGTGCACCGCACCTTCCCCCACAAATGGGGTGCCTGACACACGTGCAAGCAGCCTAGAAGAAAATTCGACCACCCACGCAAGGACGACGAGGACAGCCGCCCCAGGTGCAAAGAGCGCCAGGACGACGGCGAGCCTCGCCCCAGATGTGGGGTATACACATATATATATATATATATATATATATATATATATGCACACTGAAAAATCGGGCTTACACACACTGATGCTCTGGGCAAGTGCTAGGACGCGGGGGATGGCCGTCTCTCCCCTCCCAGCTTGAACTTAACTGCCACGGGCAAGACCATTATATAAGTTGAACAGAACAGGCCACATATATAACATCAAATACTATCCTTGAATCTGAACTCACAGGCGACGCCAGGACGACAGCCAGGAACCCCCAGGTGTACCTAACCCTAAGGGCGGACGCCTGGACGGCCCCTGGACTGCCCCAGGTGTTGGCCCAACTCGCACGGGTGCCTGCCAGAAGGGCAGTCGCATCGGGCCGTGCGCCATAGGAAATACTAGAAACAAGGGCAACCGCAGGCCAGCCGCCAGAGACAGAAATGAAAGCGGTGGGTCAATCCGAACTGTCTGACTCCTCTTGGCGGAGGGTGATTGGATCTCGAAGGGGGAGGGGGGCTCGCGCGGCGCACCCCCCCACAAGCCACCTGGCGAGGAATTTGGGTCAATTGCGGGATCTTCTCCCGCCTCCCCAGTAAGAGATGGTGGGAAGCGGATTGGAGAAGGAGAAGAGAATAGAGGACGTGAGGGGCACAAGATAGCACACAATGACGGAGCACGCAGAGCAGGGGTGTGCCGAAACAGAGGCATGCGGAGAGCAAATGCAAGGACGAGGAGGAGGGAGGAGGGGGAGGAGGACGGGAAGGAAGGAGAACGCGGGGCGCTGTCTCTTCAAAACGAGGACCCAACACAGGATGGTTGGGAACAAGGGGTTGCTCACTGTGTCGAATTTCTGCCCAAACAGCCTGCAAGGTGATCGGCAGGAAATGACCGGGGTCTCTCCCCTTCTTCGTGAGCCCCAGAACCTCCTTGAACCAATTCGGAACCTCTTTGCGCACCTTGGCAACTTTGACAGGCAGAGCCGCCCAGTGGAATGCCTCGCTGGCCTTGATCCACCGTCCGAGAACAGTCCGAGACAATGACTCTGGGTACTTGGCGAAGAGGCGATCTCGTTTCACTCTTTGGGCAGTGCCATCATCTTCCAAAAACTCGTGGATGATGGTCATTTTCTTGAAAATCGTCTGCGTCGCTTGCTTTCCCCTCCAGATCCTGCGCTCGCGGGGTTGCAAAGGGGGTGCAGCAAACCAGGCCACAGTGGACGTTACCAACCTGTGCTAACTACATTCTGTCTCCTGGGGGTGCTCTGGCGGCCGATGTGCCCTATATATAACTACCTTCTGTTTCCCGGGGGGCTCCATTTACCCCCACAGGAAAAATATAGAAGGTGCCCCCCGGAACTCACTGGGAGTTTCCAGAGGCCTCTGGGGGGCGGAAAAAGCTTGAAATCACACCAGGACCATCCCGAAAACAGCCTCCTCCTCCTCCTCCTCCTCCTCCTCCTCCTCCTCCTCCTCCTCTGTGGAACTCAATGTGTTTGCAGTTCCTATGGCACGAGGTAGACACATGCAAAACATCTCCATGTGTTCACCTTATGCCAGAAATTTCCTCTGTCGACCAGCGCCGTTGTCCTCGTCCCCTGCGCCACCGCTGGGAACGATCGCGGCCTCCTCTGCTCCCACTGCACCTGGCGCACTCGCAGTCGGAGAGCTGACCTGTCCGTCTTCGATGGCGAGCAGCTGAGGGGAGGAGCCATCACTGCCATCCCCTGGCTTGGCCACCGTGGAAGATATTGATAGGCTGCTGCTACTGCGGGTTCTTTTGGTAGGATGACTAACGGCCTTCTCGGGTGTTTGGAACATTTGTCTTACCTCGTCTGCACTAATCTCCTCTGGGGTTCCCCTCCTCGAGATCTTCTCCACGGTCGGCGTCGCCGCCAAGGGGCGCCGTTTACATCTCGGGGGTCTCCTCACGAGGTCGTGCAGGCCCATGACCTTCGGATCAGAGTACCATGCCCGGATGGTCTCCTCGATCTTCTCAGGGGACGATCCTTTGGCCATGAGGAGCAGACATGTATTCCTGGGGAGCAGCTAGTGAGCATAGAATGGGAGGGCAGGATGGGGGATACATATATATATATATATATATATATGTATACACAGGCACGTATACATACACATATACACACATATATGTATATATATATATATATACATACATATATACATATATACATATATACATATATGACGACACCCAGAGAAGGGCGACGCGCCTGAGGACGTCGTAGTGGTCGCCTTCCCCAGGGGCAGTAGTTAGCACGGAATGGGTGGGATGGATGGCAGCCCCCCTCTTTTCGCACGGGTTTTTTCACGCATGGAGGCGAGGGGACCCAAGAGGCCCCCAAGAATGGCCAAGAGGACATCCAACCACATGAGTTTTCTATAGGAAACAAGGGGGCGCCAGCTCCCCCCCCGGCACTTCAGGCTAAAGTGGATATATATGATGCACTTTTGTGGGCTGCCCAGGGGTCCCAAGCTCAGGAAAGGCGTTCATCGCCATGGTGGCGTCCGCGAACGAGAGCGGCCCTTCTGGCAGAGGCTTAATCTCAGTCACCTCTAGCTTGAAGCCTTCGGGTGGAATGGATACCTTTCCTTCCATGGCTACGGCGCACCCTGGCTCGCACACAAATCGCCTCGTAAGCCATGCCCAGTTGACGCCGAAGAAGCCTGCATTGATGGCGGTAGCGTTGCACCCCCTTCCATTCGCCGCAGATCCAGCGGACTCTCTCCCCCTGATGTAGATGCAGATGGCGTCGTAGGCCGCGTCGTTGTTGGATTTCTCGGGCAAGGCCTCCTGGGGCGGCAGGGCGCCAGTTAGCACATAATGGAGGAGGAGGAGGAGGAGGAGGAGGAGGAGGAGGAGGAGGAGGCCAGAGCGACCTCTTGGGCGGGGGGGGGCCCTGGGGGGGGTTGCTGGGCCCTCCCAGGGCCATACAGGGAAATGTTGGCTTTTTGTTAGACGGCCACCAAACAGCTTTTCCCCGATGGCCCCTCCGACCCTGGCGCGCCTGGGCCCCTCTTGGGGCCTTCTTGGTGCCCCCAGGGGCCATCTTGAGCCCTTCTCGAGGCCCTCGTCGTTGTTAGAGGGCCCCCACGGGGGCTCCACGAGGAGCCCAAGAAGGCTCCGACACTGCCACCTGGAGGAATCCACGGACCCCCCCCCTGGGGGAGTATATATATATATGTATATAGTCAAGAGCGGGGCAAGTTCCCACGTCAGTCCTCGCAGTCCATATTCTCCGCCTCCTCCTCCTCCTCCTCCTGCTGAGTGGTCTGCTGCTCCCGGACCCTCTTCTTGGCGAGTGCAGCTTTGGAGGCGAGCAGCCACTCCATGCTAGTCAGCCTATCCAAGCATTTGTCCAACTCGTGTATGGGATCGGTGACCGCGTTCGTGTGTAGCACTCTTCCCCTCGCGTGAGCACCCCTCGTCTCCAGCTTGACCTGATGAGCCATGTGAAAAAGCAGGCCCTCATTCTGTGCTAACTACCCCGCGCAGGGCACCGCGGAGGAGGAGGCGGAGGAGAAGGAGTAAGGAGAAAGGTAGAGGGCGGAATATATATATATATATGTATATATATATATAGATATGTATGTGTAGGGCCATCTTGGCCACAGCCGTTGCCATTTTTGGTTCCAGCCACGTTGGCTCAAGCCGTCTGGGCTGAAGCGATCTTGGCTCTCGATATTTGTATATATATAGGGCATCCGACGGCTGGCGTGCCAACCCAGAGGACCTTCACGGGTTTCTGGGCCACGGGCTGCACGGAATCGTCGACTTGGAAAAAATCGATGCGAGAGCCACCGCCAAACACAATTCCAATCACCTCGGGGTCCACGAGCTGGAAGTCCGCCTGGAAGACCAAGTCTTCCTCGCAAACTGAGGCATCGTGGCAGCATCTAGCCCAGCCTATGATCTTGAAATCCGGGTGCCTCTCGAGAACTGTAGCTCTATAGTCCATGCATTCCTGCACAGAGGGCGTGCTGAAGCCCTTGCTGCCGTCCAGAAACAGCAATACTTTCGCCACCCAGAACTTACTCTTGGCGCTGGCCACGTGTAGGCCGTGCAAGACAGCCATGAACTTCTCGCCAGGCTTCTTCACTAACAAATCCTCCATGGCGCCCGTGGCGAAGCCCCCCACCACGAAGTCTGGACGTTTCTCGAGCGTGTGGGCGGGCCCTGGTTCCACTGGATCAAGCGTGGTTAAATGCTTCTCGGCATTGAAGAAAGTCTCTGTAATAACTTGCGTGGCCGCATCGTCACCGATAGCGGGCGCGGCGGAGGCAGCGCTGCCACCGCCCAGCCCTTGCATCTCCGCCACGAGGTTCAGGGATTTTGCAGCCATGAGGACTCCAATGAGCTCTTCCTTTTTTTTCGACCCAGGCTTCCCACCTGCAGCCGCGACCTCGTCAGCTAAAGCCTTCCGCGCGAGACAATCCAGCCTGCAAAGAATATGCTTTTGAGTTCCTGGGGCCCCGAGCAGCGCTGTCCGCGCATCTGTCGACAGGCGCGGAGATAGCACACAATGGAATGCGCGCCACAAGCACGACCCCCAAACAGCGCTGTCCGCGCACCTGTCAACAAGCACGCAGATAGCACACAATGGGCCAAAGGTCAAAGGCAAGTTCTCTCGCTTCGCCTGATCTCCTCTGTCTGGAGCTCCTGCAAGCATGCCTTGGCCGTCTCCAGAGCGAGATCCTTCCCGCCGAACTGTATGTATTTGAAATGTCGTTTGATGCCCCACCGGGCCATCTTCAACACGAAGCCACCTTTGCCACGTTTGTCATATAACAGACCTTCTGGAAGTTCTTCGCTGGCAACCCCTGGCTGGGCTGGTGCTGTGGGTGGACTCACCACGACCTCTACGCAGGATGTCACTGCCGCCAGCACCAGGATAAAGTTCCCCACGCACATCGAGTTGCCTGCGATGGCGTGGTGTGAACAGTCAAAGAGATCCAAATCAAGACGTGGTACGCTTGCCATCTCAGCACACTCGCTGTAGACGGGGAACATCAGCGAGTTCATTTTTTCCACGGCGGTGATCCACCGCCTGTGGTACGATGACCATATCCGCGGCGTGGCGTTGTGTCTGTAGCAAGGGAAGCCTCCATCTGCCCCAGACATCGTGTTGCGGAGCTCGGCGTACTGCTGGAGAGCGAACGCAGCCCGAGGGTCCGCCGCTGCTGGAAGCCCATACTTATCTTGCCACAATTTCTCGTACGCATCCAAGTTCTGCTGCTCGTACGCTGTGAGTCCAGTCCTGTAGGAGTCGGGGGCACTGCTTTTCCTCCCCACCCACAGCAACTCGTCCCCCCTCCCCACCGCCCGCTCTGTGCTGCCGGTGTCGTCTGGCCACGCCCATTGTGTGCTATCTGTTGGTTGCGCCCGACGTGTCCTCCAGTCCGAAGCACTGGCCGCCGTCCCAGTAGCAGCAAGTTTCTTGAACTCGTGGGCAAGGGCGGGCTCGCTGCCCTCGCACCAGAGATCGCCATAGGGCGTGTCCACGCCCCTGACCGACTTCACGAGGTACTTGTACACGTCTTCGATCGAGTCGATAATGTTGAGACGCTTCTTGTGCACGAATATTGACACTAGCCGCTCTCGGTGAAGTCCAGAAATGCCGCAGTCAGCGGGCTTGACTTTCAGGCGGAAGCGCGTGTACGTGCTACTCAGGAAAGACAGCATACTCTCGTCGTCGAACTCCAGCACGTTCTCATGGATGCCTATGGGAATGTCGTCCTCTAAGAGCATGCGCGACCACGTCAGCGGCAGCACGTTCGTCGGGTCCTCGACAGGGGTTGCGAAAACGTTGGAAACTATCCCACGCACTAGATAGCACAATGGCCACGCCACTATGGATTCCCGATGGATTCCTATGAGCCTTATGGCTGCCCTGGGATGGCTCCTGGTGGGCTCCTGGGAGGCTCCTGGGTTTATAGGCTCCTGGGATGCTCCTGGTAGGCTCGTGGGATGCTCCAGGTGAGCCCACGGGGACAACGACCACCCCCAACGCCCCGACCAGGCAACCCCTCCCCCTTGACCCGGACCACGACCACGACGACTCCCGACCGCGACCTGAGGCCGGCATGGGTCCTGGACAAGGGCTGCGAGAACGTTGGGAAATATGCCACGCACTAGTCAGCACACGATGGCAACGCCACGATCTGAAAGCACAAGCAACGCCGATCTCCCCCGACCTCCATAATGTGCTATCTATGTGGGCCCCTTGCGCCCCTTCTCTCGTCTAGACCCCCCTCTCCCCTGGCTGGGACTTGCCATGGGAAGCCTGCTCCTGGAACTGGACATCCCTGGTTCCCCCCCATCGGCCCCTCTTAGTGTCCTCCCCTCCATTTAATCCCTGCATATCCTGGTGTTTAAGCTGATTCCCCGCCTTGCTCCACGCGACGCACGCAGTGCCAGTGGTGTCCACGAAGGCGGTCGGCCTCGAGCAAGACCTGGTGGGGTGCCGAAGGCACGGCGCTTTCGAGAGGATAGGAGCGTCGGCGAGCAACCTCTTGACCTCCTCGAAGGGCTCGTCTAACGTCTGGTGATGCTCGTGCACTCGCTTCTTCACCGACCGGGGAAGGAAATGCGTCATGTCCTTGAACATGCAGCCTGGCAGGAAAGCGCAAACGAAGCGTCGGAGCCTTCGACACCAGTCCTGTCAGGCAAATGTTGGCTCAGGTTTTGGTGCGTACCCCTTCCTGGGCCAGGCTGGGAAGGGGCATGCGCCAAAACCTGGGCCAGCATTGGCCTGGCAGGACTGGTGTTGGTGTATACTTCCCCTGCTCCTATATATCGATGGCGATTGACGGCCTGAAGAATGCCCCGCGATTGATTGCCCCGAGAGGGCCCCGGGAGGGCCGAAGAGGGCCCGACAGTTAGCACAGAATGGAGCACCTGACCCCATCTCCTCCTCGAACGCTCCCCCAGGAACCCGTGGGGCCTGGGAAATTCCCATGGAGTCCCTGCAGGCACGGCAGGTGCTTGTCGCAGCAGGACACGGTTTTCACTCGCATTTTCGGGAGCTCGGAGTGCTTCTCCAATGCGGCAGAGAGCATGCTGCCCGCAACCTCGGCAGCTCCTGCGCCCGAGCAGAAGCTCCGAAGACTCCCGTCCTCGTGCGTCCACATCGCAGACCTCGCAGGGGTGCGTGTGTATATGTATATCTATACACATACATATTGAGAGCGAGAGAGAGAGAGAGAGAGAGAGAGAGAGAGAGAGAGAGAGAGAGAGAGAGAGAGAGAGAGAGAGAGAGAGATGAGAGAGAGAGAGAAGAAAAAAAAAAAAAACAAAAAAAAAAAAGAGGAGAGAGAGAGAAAAGAGAGAGAGAGAGAAGAGAGAGAGAGAGAGAGAGGGAGGGAGGAGGAGAAGGAGGAGGAGGAGGAGGCGGAGGAGGAGGAGGAGGGAGGAGGAGGAGGAGGAGGCGGAGGAGGAGGAGGAGGAGGTGTGTGTGTGTGTGTGTATATATATTTATATATTATATACGGTACTCAATGTGTTTTGCCTCTTGGGGCCCTCTTGCGGATGCTATATAGCCCTCTGGGGGGCTCTTGGGGCCTCTTGGAGGCCCCTTGGGGCCTCCTGGGGGGCATCTTCGGGCGGAAGGCTCGGATGTTCGGTTCGCGTTCCCTCTCTTGGGCCCCATCTTGGGGCCGTCTGGGGCGCTTCGTGGGCCGTATTGGGGCTTTCTTGGGGTGTCTCCAGGCCCTCTTTGAGGGCTCTTGAGCCGTCTTGGAACGATCTTTGGGGGCCCTACCAGGACCTCCCAAGCGTTGTGCTTGCAATCCCAGCGTGCCGTTCTCGATCCCGAGAAAGAAGCGCGTCCACAGCCCGACGTGCCAGTGTAAATTGCTGGGGCCAGTTGGTGCCGTCGCGCAGTCTCGGGCAGCAATCCGAGAGCAAACGACGTTTTGCCGACGGCCCTTCAGGTTGGCCAGCGCCCTTCCACGTCCACTGCGTGCTGTTGTAGAAGCACGGCTGCACCAATTCCACACATATCAGCATTGACTGGTCGGCAAACATTTCTGTGTAGTCGGCTGAACTGGGGTCTGGGGCGAGATCGGGAGGCACGTCGCACGGGCGGATAAGGCTCACGTTCTTGACCTCGAACCCTGCTGCTGGATCTGTCCTTCTGTACCCGTTTCGGAGGATGATCCTATTCACATGTGGTTTACCCCATGGCATCAGCCGCTTGCGGTAGTACTCCGAGTCCCTCCTGAACTCGCAAGATTTAGACCCCTCGACTATCATTTTCAACCAATGCTGCTTGATCGGCAGAACGTAGACGCCAGCAGGCAGCGGCCCCGTCTGTCAGGGAGGCGGCAGTTAGCACAGAATGGGCAGGGAGGCGGTCAGCCCTCCTCCCACCCCTCCCCTCCGTTAATTTGTTTGCTTCGAGCGATCCCCCACGCGATCCTTGCTCCTCGAGGGCGCGAGGCGGGCTTCCCAGGACTCTCGGGGACCTTCGGGGCAACTTGGGGTCTGGCGGCCGCGGTATATATGCGTGGGGCGGGGGTGTGGCGGGGGGGTCTGTTCTAAGACACCTAACAACCCCAACCTGTCGGGTGGGGGAAAACACAATCAAGAAACTCGGTCAAGAGGGGGGGTTCAGGGCAAATGCGCTCAAAATCGGTCCCCATACCAATCCCGGGGGCCAACCGACGCAGTCTTTCACTCCAGATCCGCTTTCGATTGCCCCAGGGCCCGAAAGCGGCCCCCAGAGGCCGAGAACAACGAAAAACCGCCTCGAACCAGTGGTGGACCACCTCAGCCCCTCAGCCCGCTCCAATTTCACGTTCTCCCCGCCCTGTCTCCTCGACGATGGCCGCCTCCGAGGGGACGATGGCCGCCTCCGAGGGCCCTTCGAGCTCGGGCGTGGCCGCACCCTCGTGACCCAGGCTGCCCTCGGAGGCCCCGGGCTCCAGCTGCTCCTTGGATGCGCTCGCCTGCAGGTGCTCCACCTGCGAGCAGGGGGTGCCCACTAGATAGCACGCAATGGCGGCAAGACTTCGCAGCCCTCCTCTGCCCCTCCCCTCTTTGCACCCTGATCGGCCCCATCCGTCTTGGGCCGTCTTGGAGCGCTCGTGAGCCGTCTTCACGGCCTCGTGGACCTCTCCCGGGCCGTCTTGGACGCATCTTGGGCAGTCGTGGGCGCCTCTTGGGCCGTCTTGGGGCCCTCTTGGGCCGTCCTGAGGCCCTCTTGGGCCGTCTTGGGCCCTCTTGGGCCGTCTTGGGGCCATCTTGTGCCGTCTTGGGGCGGAGGGCGCCAGCTAGATAGCACGCAACGGCGGCAAGACTTCACAGCCCTCCTCTGCGCCTCCCCTCCTTGCACCCTGAGCG